GAGGGAAAGGAAGAGAAGGAGAAAGGGAGGGAATGGGAGAGAAAGAGAGGGGGAGACAGACAGACAGAAAGACAGACAGACAGACAGACAGACAGACAGACAGACAGACAGACAGACAGACAGAGGGGGCCTTCCCAATTTGAAATCCCGGCGTCTACAAGGAAGTATGGCTAAGTCCGTCAAGGTGTTGGTTTGATGGCGACTGACAGACGCCAGGGGAGAAACGCAGGGTAGATGTTCGCGAACTGCCGTACAACACACTGCTTGCTACCGCACGAATGATTTTTCTGGACGCACCGAAAGCATTAAGAACTTACGCTTTCCAAACCGTGTCATGGCAATTAGTAATTTCCAGGGACCTTTGCACGCAGCCACGTTCACAGCAGACACAGATGCCCTGCGGTTGCTTGGGGTTGTTTGGGACGGAAGGGTAGGCCGGCGGCGGCGCGTCAGGCCCTAAGCCTCCTGATGACGGGGTATTCGCTGCGGCCGCTACACAACTCCGTGATCAGGATTTGAAACTTGAAATCCTCCGGGCAACAAGGCGCGCGCTGCTACGCCCCCACCCCAACCCCCGCCTATGGGCGCGGCCTTCCCTCCTTTTCCCAACTCGACAGGAGTTTGATGGCCTAATAAGCGAGCTCCAGTTCCCGCCTCGGGCTACACAATTGCCACTTGGGCCCAGCCTGGCACGACCAGGGGCGGGGGTGGCTGGGCGGGGCGTGGTGCCGACACCTCTGCTGCTGCTGCTGCTGCTGGTGCGCGCTGCGCCGCGCCACGCCCTCACCGCACTTCTAAACTTGGCGCGAGTAGCTCTACGAATGCTCGTTAACCGTGAACGCGAGGGAATGCATAATGATGCTAACGAGAGTATCAAAGCAACGACGGGGGAGGAGGGAGGGGGAAGAGGAGGAGGGGAGGAAAACATTTTTAAAAAAAGTGTCTCGGAGTAGCGGGGCGGCTGCGCGGGCAGCATTCCTGCGGGCGGTGCGGCCGGCCGGCGGCCTTACAGTCGGACCCAAATTGAAAAACAAGAGGTTTCGCGCCTATTCGCGCTAATGAAAGGAGGAGCGGCGGGGCTTTCCCTTCACAGCCGAGACCGACCGGGGCAGGGCCGCGGGGCACGGCTCAAAGGGGCAGGGCCGCGGACTGCGCCCAAATAGACACGCCCCGGGCCCCCCCC